CACACACTCCTTACCACAGTTTATTGGTCCAGGGATAGACAAGTGAACCAAGTGGGCCCAATCAGAAAATGTTCTTGATATTTTCCAAACTGGAACTTGGGGACACATAGTTCCCTTCTAGAGGGGGTTGCTGAAAGATAAGAAACCTTGGCTCTGCCAGAGGCCACTTTTACCCCTTTGTAGAGCAAGCCAGTCTGCAGTCAGCACCCGAGGGTTCCATGTGCAATGTGAGGCTTTGCATATTTGGCCAAGGGGCCACCTGGGTGCTTAGTGCAAAGTCATAGCAGGCAGCCCCAGGAACGGCCAGGTGGCTCTGAGGGTAGCAGCTGGCTTTGCCGGAGTGCATTCTGTGGGGCAGGTTTTCCTTTTGGCGTGCACTATACTCTCATTTGTAACATTTCCAGGGAAGACTCTGGGCTTTTGCATACTATATAGAGGAAGAAGATTTTACATGTGGGACCTTGGGTCCTATTGAATCCTGACTTCTCATGAATGAATTTACCACGCAATAAGAGAAAGAGTTCCTGTGGGGAGAGAAGCTTGCTTGCACCCCAGGGCAGACAGGGCCACTGCTTACACTACAACAGCGGACCTTTGGTCTTTCAGGGATTTTCAAAATGACCAGCTTTTGCCCTCACACACAACTCCTCAGAGAACTAGAGTAAAGCTGTTTTCAAGACCATGATGGTTTAAAAATACATCAGGCAGAACCATAAATTTCTTCACAGTTTTTTTAAAAAAGAAATTCCATTTAAATACATATCGGAGCAACGTCATCACAGAAAGCCTCTCACTCTCTTCTCGCTCGCTTCCAAATTCTAAATCTTTTCTTTCTATAGTGAAGGGAAGAGTAAAAATTGGTTTTCCTCAAAGGCCAGCTTCAGCGGTTTACAGAGTTGTTTGACAAACTTAAGCCCAAGTGGTGAGGACGGCCACCTGTTCCCGCAGAAACCACCAAGCTAGGTTCTCACAGAACTCATCTCTGTCTCCAGGAAGGCTGGAGGTGAATTTTAGTATATGTTGGGAAAATGAACCTGGTAGCAAGAGGAATGGGATCACTCAGTACAGGAATTGTTTGAAATTTGCCCTTTAGAGAAAAGAAGTGCTGTTAGTGCCCACAAACATAGCCCTTGAGGTTGATATTTCAGAATGTTGAAGGCTAAGGAATCATACCCGCTAAAGCAATGGGGCTGGAATACTTTACAAACTATGTAACCTCAAAACAGACAGACAAACCAAAACATTCTTAGTAGAGTCTGTTGAAACCTGAACTTATCTATTGAGGAAGTAAACCAAGATGATTCAAGGGCTCACAATCAGACGATAAGAAGAGGGTCAAGCCAAGGCCAGGAGAGTCTCAAACAAAAAGCATTCCACGTCAATTCAAAAAGGATCTTACAATTCAGCATGCCCACCCATACCTCCATTTCTTAATATGTGCAATGCAGTTACCTGGGTGTTGCTCTTTGTACCTCAGTTTTATCATCTGTAAAATAAGAGAAATAATAGTAGGGCTTTTGTGAAGACTAAATGAATTCATACAGGTAAGGCACCAAAAACAGGCCTGGCAGCTGGTAAAATGTTCAGCAAATGTTTATTTTCCAAGATGACTGTTACACCGAGGAGACTGAGGAGCATATACTGGGGCCCAAGAAAAGGGCCTCAGCACAAACCGAGGTCTCCAAACTGGCGGTGTAATGTCTCTCTTAGCTGCCTGATCCTTAAATGGGATATAGCCGCTGATGCCTCTTTCGGAGGCTTGCTGTTAACATTCAATGAAATAAGAGCCGTTGAGAGCACTTGAAATCAGCAAGAATGCTGTGGCTGTCATAGCTTTTCTCTTAGTGAACAGCAGTATTTGAAAATGTATAATGATTGGTATCACGTTATCCTACAGAAAACTCAGGAAATGTATTTTAAAGTCTGTCCACCTGTAGATGCTTAACAACAGAACAGTATTTAAGCCTCTTATCCCTGGATAGGTTGAACAGAGCCTCACTGTAAGTTCTCACCAGCGCTTCTCAGACTTTTGCCTTTTGTGGATGTGGATTTGATTACAGTGAGTGTAAAGAAGGACCTGTGGATGCTGCTCTGGGGCGTGGCTTTCAGAGCCAGTGTGAGGCCAGATGCTGGGGGCCCTAGCCTGGGGGGATGAGGTGAAATCTGTTTTGAACTTGATCCCTTCTACCATGTGGTCTTATAGAAACTGATTCTAGAGTTTTCTGTTACAGTGGGACTGTAACAGACTTTCAGTTTTTATTAAAATTTGGACTTGTTCACAGCCTAATTCCTTTTAGTCTCAACCAAATTGTTTAGGCCCTGGATGGAAACATCATCCTGAATTACATGACAGTCTTAGAATATTCTCTTGGCTATTCTTGTTCATAATGCTGAGTTTAATTCCTTGGTTGTATATATAAGGACATCAAATCCAAAGACAGAAAAATCCTGCACAGATGTTGTGGCATTGACTGTAGATGTTCTGATATCTGGCTAAGGTGGCATCTTTGTGAATGTTATGAATTGCTTCTAGGGAAGCAAAAAGCACCTCAACAGAGCTACCATTCCACCAACATGCAGCATTCTGGGGAAGGGGAAGAGAAGGAGTGTTTAATGGCTCTATCAGCTCTGGCAAGGAAATGAATGCATTTGAAGGAATAGAGTGCAGGCACACAGACAGCGAGGCTCAAGTCTCCTGGCTGCATGCATACTGCCATTACACACCACAATAAAAATAATTAATGCAGCGTCTGACCTGCTGACCTCCAGATGCCTACTGCACCACCTCATCAACAATCCCCAGACCTCCATGGTGCCTCCTGTGCCACCCGCTGGCTGCCTCACTGGGCTACAGCAAGCACAAGGGCCTTACCCAGGCTTTGTTCTTAAGGCTAAACCAAAAGGGAGAGTCCCTTGGTCCCTCCGCCTCGTGCCTGGGCAAATGAATAAGCTGCCCGTGTCACTAACATATTCCAGGTCATGCGCACACACAAACATTATTATATCTCAAAATTACTTTTAAATTACTGTCTTTGGGGTTTTAACCATTTTCCTAGAAACGTGGCTCAGCAAATGCTTACGTGGAGCAAGGATGGCACCCAGTGGCCAAAGTGCTTCATCTCATACCCTGTATGAGGGTATTTTCTCAGGGATTTTCCATTTGCTTCTCTCTTTGGAGACAATGAATTGCCACGAGATCCTTTTGTAAAGCCAGAGTTGAAACTCCAAATCACATGACTATCCCATTAAGCTGAAGAATGTGCACACACACACACACACACACACACACACACACACTGAAACAGTATCAAGAGTTAATTCAGAATAGCCAGAAATTCTGAAAAATCTTTAAACATTTACATTGAGAGTTTCATGTTAAAATCATCATATTTCACATGTGAAGATTACTATCCATGATGTTCCCAATATCAAATACCACTCTAGGAAATATTATACAAAACGAAAGCCCAATCTCACATTCCTCACTTCGTATCTTCCCCAAATAGTCTCTAGTTCATCAGTGCTCATGCCTTACACATAAGACTTTATCTCCTGACAAGTGCTTTATCATTAAACTGATGTTTGCAATCTCATATCCTTGTTATCTTTTGTACAAGGTACTTGGCAGGCCTGGAGAGCATGGGATAATAAAGTGGGACGGCTTTTTTTCCTTTGAGCTTTCCAGATGTCAAGAGATTTCTATACAGCTAGATAGCCAATCAGACTGTAAGGAAGACAGGCGAGATGTCAGAATAATGAATCATATACTCTCTTGCTAAGAATGATGCAATGTCTCCATAACATTTCTGTTTCCAATTTCCTTAGGTTTCCAAGCAATCTAAAACCCCAGGGCAAAAAGTCACATGGATAGCACAACCACAGTACAAAAAGAAGTTTCTAATAAAACAACATTACATATTAATTGCCCAAAGAGTACCATAAACGGTCATATTAAAAATCAATGTTAAGTTTAGCCAAAATTTCTTTCTCAGACATCATTACCATTCATGCTTTTTTGAGCCCCAAAATATCAAAATGCCACCAAGATTCCAAGAATAATAGCTGAATCAAAAGAAACGACTTAAGAATGAAACTCCACGACATTGCTTCCATTTTACTACTTCACCACTTTAAAACGGCATTGTTTTCAAGATCAGACAAAGCACTGGAGAAGAAAAAACAAAGCAGAGGGGTTCCATTTTTCTTGTTGGTTGTTTTTTTTTCTTGCTGGTTCTTTGATCCTTAGTTGCCTTCTATGTAAAATGGAGATATACTAACCCTGCCCTCACCAAGACTTTGTGAGCCTCAAGTAAGATAATGGACATGCATACATTTCATATGCTGCTATTTCTTATTATTTAAGGCATTTTTATTATTTAAACATCTATGGGTAACATTAGTGTATAGCTTTCTTTTTTTTTTTTTTGAGACAGTCTTGCTCCGTCGCCAGGCGCCAGGCTGGAGCACAGTGGCACGATCTCGGCTCACTGCAACCTCCACCTCCTGGGTTCAAGCAATTCTCCTGCCTCAGCCTCCTGAGTAGCTGGGACTACAGGCGAGTGTCACCCCGCCCAGCTAATTTTTGTATTTTTAGTAGAGATGGGGTTTCACCATGTTGGCCAGGATGGTCTTGATCTTCTGACCTTGTGCTCCGCCTGCCTCGGCCTCCCAAATAGTGTATAGTTTTTAAACTGATGAGATTGAGACTCTTGTCTTACCCAAGTAATTACATATCTTTCGCATGAGTGTTATTATATTATCCTTCAAATATAATATAGTCATGGGGAGCTTTGGAAATTACTTGTAATTAAATCAAGCTGAGCTATTTTGAACAGAGCCTGAATTCAAAAATTTTCGTATTCAAAAGTCATAAAACCCCTAAATGTTTTGTCAACATTTATGGTGTTTCATGTTTTATTTTCTCCTTCTCTCCTAGAGATAAATTTCATAGGCTCATAAAATTACAGCATTTTCTAACTAGAAATGGCTTTGTTTTGCAGATGAGGAAACCTGAAGCCCAGGACTTGAAATTATCCAACAGATCTGGTGGCTGCTCTGTCTTCATAAGAAGACATTTGCTTGCTCTTGTCTTACTGTGTTCATGGCCCTACAAAGACTGTAAACAGGCAGATCTAGCCACTGAGACTGAAGAAAACCCTTAGGCCAGACATTGTCTGCTAACTGCCTGTTTCATGGGGTGTCTTGGGACCAAGAGAATCGTGATTCCCAAACACTTAGAAGATTTTGGATGGATCCATTTCCAACTGAGAAAAAAATAGGAAGATGATTTTTTTCAAAAACAGTGCATGATTTCAAAAATAGGAAAGACCGAACACAGAACTATATAAAATAGTAAACACAGATACAAATAATGAAGTATTAGGCATTTTAAAGGTCAAAAATAATAGTTTAAAAAATTAGGCAGCAGGGTGGTGGTAGCAGGATACACAAATGAAGAAACTTATTTAATAGTAAAGAGATTGCTGAATGGACTAAGAGTTAAAGGCAAAGCGGCTTTTGCCTCCAGCAGGGAAGGGAGACACTCATTACAGCATACTCCAAAGAGGACAAGGCCAGTACCCAACCTAAACCAAGAAAAGAAATCCCTTTATTTTCATGTAGTTTAGGGTGCACAGGACAACCAGGAAACTAACGACCAGGAACATAAAAACCAGGGGTTTCAAACAGCATCAAGCAAGGGATGGGACAAAGTTGTCAGACATTTCTTTTTCTTTTTTTTTAAGACGGAGTTTCGCTCTTGTTACCCAGGCTGGAGTGCAATGGCGCAATCTTGGCTCACCGCAACCTCCGCCTCCTGGGTTCAGGCAATTCTCCTGCCTCACCCTCCCAAGTAGCCGGGATTACAGGCACACGCCACCATGCCCAGCTAATTTTTTGTATTTTTAGTAGAGACGGGGTTTCACCATGTTGACCAGGATGGTCTCGATGTTTTGACCTCGTGATCCACCCGCCTCGGCCTCCCAAAGTGCTGGGATTACAGGCTTGAGCCACCGCGCCCGGCCCCAGTTGTCAGACATTTCTATTGCCATAGGTCCCTCCTTCAAAATTCTACCCAAGCATCTTAAATTCTTTGGCCATAAAAATGCCAAACATTTCAATGAAGTTGATCACAAGATAGAAATTTATCCAGCATGGCTTTAGGTGATATAAGGGTTATAAAATGAGTAAGTCAAGAATTCTCTCCTAAAAATGCATCTACTTTAACCATTTGACTAGACAGGTGCACCAAAATTTATATTGCAAGGTAGAAAGTGATGAGTGTGGTGGGAAGAAGGGTGAATGAGAAGATCACTTTTGACTAAAGGATAGCAGGAACAACTCCATGAAGAAAGGGGCAGTTTAGAAGGGTCAGATAGATTGTTAGGGCTTTAAATATGCAGGTAGGGGAAGGATGGGTACAAACATAAAGGAGGACAGGAAATCGGCAGAAAACACCAAGTAGAACCATTTAGTGAAGGATGGCTCAGCGGGAGCATGGGGAACAGGCTGGAAAAGTGAGCTGGAAGTTAGAGTTTGGAATACTTTCAATGTCCAATTAAAGAATTTGAATTGACAGAATCTAGAGGCTCCTAGAAGATGCTAAATTTTGTGAGCTGGAACCTACACTAACAGAAGAGTTCATCTGTTCATCTGGCAGCTGTGCCCAAGATGGGTCTCAGAGAGGATCAACAGCAGGTGGCGGGGAGCCCAGCTAGGAGAGCAGTGTACAATAACGGCCTGCATGAGGGAGAATGAGGATCTGCGCTAGTGCAGGCTGTGAGGACAGACAAGAGTAGGAGATGTTTGGAAGGCAGAATAGACAGGACTCTATGTGGGAGCAGGCGGTGGTGAGGACCCCATGATAACTGTACAATGATAGCCAAAGTGTACAACTGGAGGTTGAGGGCTACAGAAGCCCAACAGCCAAGAGGTCGTAGCTTTGTGCATACTGAACAAACAGTGGGGGGAAAGCCACCGATGGCCAACCCAAGCCCCTCTCACTGAGGTGACAGGCTACGTGTTCTTCATTTCCTGTCTCCACAGCTAGTTATCAACGGTTCTAATTAGAGAAAAACCAAAAAGAAGATAAATTGATACAGTCCCAGATGCCCTAGTGTTCTGGAAAGTTCTGATGCCTTTAACTGCTCCCGTTCCCTTTACAGTTCAGGGGTCAGGGATCTCACTGGGCCACACTGTTGCTCTCCACTGGACCTACAGGACTTGTTGCCTTTCTGTTCACAGCGCTCTGAAACAAATGAACCCTCCTTTATTTCACTGCCTCAGGTTCACACTTCCTGCACCTTCCTGTGTGACACTTAGGGAAGGCAGTGAACTCCGCTGTGCTAACACGGGGGAGGGAGAAGGTGGGAGAAAGCCCTCTGGGGCCACTCTTCTTCCCAAGGAAAGGAGACGCTCACAGGGACCTTCTGGGGACAGTGTCCTTGCTTTGTTTTCAAACAGAAAGAAATGACAAATAGTGTCCGCTGAGGTTGATGTGAGGGGAGGTCAGGGTCACCACCGGGTGTATTTGGGTCAGGCAGGTCCTTGAAGGGCCCTCAATCCCTAGCCGCTTAGCTCAGCAGGAGGAAAGGCCAGCCTGGGCTCGCAGACCTGGTTCCCTTCATGCCCAGCACCCACTCACCGCGCCCTCTGCCTCTATCTTCAATACTCAAAAGTGACAAAGTACAACCATCCTTTTTCTGATGTGGCATTTGATTAAGACACAATTCATAAAGAGAACTGGACATTTCAACGCGAAGCACTCTGCATATTTATGGATGCGTCCTGAGCAGTGCAAACCGCAGGGCTGGGCAGCTGCTTCTGAGCAGAAGATGCCCTTTAGGGTGCTGATGCAGCTGTTTCCTCTGCAGTCAATTTCCTGGTGAAGGTTCAATAACTTTCCCTGACCAAAAAAAAAAAAAAAAAAAAAAAACAACTCGGATATTAAACTTGGCATAAATACTATTTAAAGTCAAAACAACTTCCTAAATTCCAAAGGCAGGAACTGAAGAGGAGACAGCTTAGGCTAGGTGTAAGATGATACCCGAATTCCTTTTATGTGGTTTCTAAACCACCTTAGAAATGAGCCAAGATGCACTGGAAAGCCACTGATGGGATTTCAGAAAGCAGCATTTCAGGAAGGCCATGAGAACTGAGACTGTAGAGAAAAAAGACAAAGCTCCTGCTCTCTCTCTGGCACCCACAAGTCCTGCTTTATCCCGGACTTGTGGAAGAGCCTCTGTGGCTCATCCCGTCCTGAAGCAGAGGAGCTGGAGGTGCCCCTATCGATGTGGTGGGAAGTAAGCTCCCCGGCCTCTGCCATCCCGCGGCTGTCCATGGGGCTCAGCTCTGCCCTCCTCCTCGGCATTCTCTGTGTCGCCTGAGTTTGGGTAAATGCCATGGTGTAACCCTCTCCCTGCACAGTGAGCTCTGCCTCCGCAAGGGGCTGCTGCAACGATTGGGCTCTTCCAGGGCTTTGGAAATAGATTGCGCAGGGCGGTGGCTAGTGCTTGTAGTGCCTTTGTGCCAACTGGAGGAAGGAGCGCCCTCTGGCGGATCAACTACTAAAAGGCACCCCATGCACTTGGTCAGCCTAGGGAAGGGGGCAGCCCCGCACCTGCCTGCTGTGTAAGAGGCCCTAGTGCAGGGCGTACGGCGGACACATCTCCTGGCATAGCCATAAGGGCAGTCTTGAGGGCTGAAGCTTCTTATTATACACGTTAGACTATTTATGGATTAAAGTGTCTTTTCAAATCTAATTTTTTAAAGCTTAGTAAATCACATCCCATTGCTCAGTCTGCAAAGGAGGCCATAAGATCCTATTTTTGATGCAGTTATTCTTATTTCCGTATATAAATGCCACGAGGAGTACATATTCTTGGTACGTTATTTACTTTACCAGGATATTAATTTGTGGCCTAGGCATTAACATTGAAAACTTGAAATATGTTAGAGGTAGTCCAACCCCAAACCCCAACCTGAGTTATTGGTGCTTAATTACCGAGGCGGTTGTAGTGCTGTACACGAGTTCATCTTTGATTGCAGCCATAACCCATGCAGTTCCCAACTGAAGGCAGGGATGATACAAGGCAGCAATATAACACCACAATGTCCATGAGTTGATTTTAATTGGTAAAGTGGCAATATATAGTGATAATTGTTTGGTCTGCCCACCACATTGGAATCTAAGGAAAGTCCATAAAATGACAGAAGCATATAATTGGTGTACTAAACTCATTTTCTTATATTATCCCAGCTGGCATCTTTAGGTTACTGAAAGCCTTTAAACCAGCCATCTTCAAGGAGATGTAATTGTCACTATGGTCTTTATACATTATTCCTGTTAGCACAGAGCTGCAGAGATAGAAACAGTCACTAAAATCTGTACAAAGTTTCTGTATATAACTTTCCTATTTCAAGTTCATGGAAGATCAGTATATGTTAATGAGGATTAAAAAAATGTTTTTTTAGATCCTGGTTTTCTCATTAGATGCACAGGGCAATCAACCCATAAAGGAAAATTTATTGACATTACAACCTGAATCAGACTTTCAAAACAGTTAATTCATTAGTTTCAGGAAGTTCTGTGATCTTTTTGTGTATAGGTAGACCTATAAAAAAGATTATTTCTTGAAGTATAAATGATATAACAGAATCAGGAAAAATAAACCCAAATTCTGTCATTCTTGGATGTGTAATTATATGCTGTTTTAGCTATTTGGTCCAGCTGGACAGTCCAAGGACACTTCTAGAAAGGTTTTCACACTCTAATCCCATTCACCCACCCATCAGTACTACACACTCCTGAAGGAAATTTTTTCCAACAGAAATAATAGGGTTATCAGAACAAAACAAAACAACCACCCTCCCAGCAACAAAGCAATCTAGCATAGAGGGAGAAAATCCCAAAACATAAAGGGATATGAAATAGGAAGACCATATATGAAGAAGGGTAAAATAGCATCAATCTAGCATTAATGATTATTAATAATTCACTACAGGTTTATCTTATGCAAAATCGATCTTCCCGTAGGCCCCACAATCTATGAGTACAAATGATACCAAACTAGGAATGATTAATGGTATATATCACATTCTCCAATAGTACAGGGTCTCCATCTTTTCTACTTATTTTTGGGAGTCCTCAGGGTACACCTTACCTGTCCTTAAAATGTGACCCCTGAGCCTGCATTGATTCCATTGATTCCATCAGCTTCTGCTGGTCACACAGGCAGGAAGTGCCTTGCCACAGGTCCGTAGTGATGCTTCCTTCCATTAGGCTGCTGCCTTCTGTTGAGTGCTGTTGGCACTCTGACCCTCAATCTATTGGAGTATGTAATGCACTGAAACCATACCAAAGCCCATGCGTTCTGTGCTTACTCAGTTTCTCAGCTGAGAACATGGACCCTGGGGGGATGAGGTGAAGGATAAATCCAAGGTTCAAACTTCATGCTGAACTTGGAATCATCTAGACACTGAGGTCTCTGGCCTTAACTTTCACGAGAAAGAGTTCTTTATTCAGAAGGACTGTTAGTCTCTCATGTAAATAACTACAGCTCACTAGTCTCCCAGACATTTCTGCATCCCAGATGTGGTATTGCTTAGGTTCCAAATGAAGTCTGTCATATGTACGTATGTAATATTTGACTCCAGACCTCCAGATCTTTGTCAGAATTGGATGAATCCGTTTCTTCCCAAACTCTGGCTTAACCTCTGAATCACTGATCACTAGTCTGGTCCGAGCTGGGTATAGTCCAATACATTGTAACTCAGCCATCCTTTAACTCAGTGGTCCCCATCCTTTTGGACAGCAGGGACCAGTTTCATAGAAGACAATTTTTCCAGACTGGGGAGGGGTGGGGGGTGTAGGGATGGTTTCAGAATAAAACTGTTCTACTTCAGATCATCAGGTATTAGATTCTCATAAGGAGCACGCAACCTAGATCCCTCACACGCATAGTTCACAACAGGGTTCGCACTCCTATGAGAATCTAATGCCACTGCTGATCTGAGAGGAGGCAGAGCTCAGGTGGTAATGTTTGCACGCGTGCTGCTCACCTCCTGCTGCGTGGCCTGGTATCAGTCCATGGCCTGGGGGTTGAGAACCCCTGCTTTAACTCATGATTCCAGACTTCAAATGATTGCATACTTGAATTTTTTTTTTACAGTCATCTTTGTTTAAAAAAGTACTGCAGGTAGCAAGAAAGACAATACACTCGAACACAAACATGGTTTGTCATATATATTGGTCAAAACAAAGCATGTATTTACTATTATTTAGCTACAATGCTAGGGAACTGCCACTGCATGTACTCCAGCCTGGAATTTCAGTAAATGCTTTTCACTGTCTATGTGCAGGATTATTTTAAGCCCACTACATTTTATTGTTATTGCTGCAGTTATAACAGACATCAGCTACCAATTATGGATAATGTTTTATTTACTTTATATATCAAGAAAAATGCCATTCTGAAATGGTTAAAATGGTCTACTATATCTCAATTACATTGTAATAAGATGCTAGATAATATCTTTCATGATAAAATCTGGAGTAAATTAGTTAAATTCTTAATCTTGATAATTTTAAGATGAAATAACCCTTTGTTCTCAAATTTAAATACTCCATATTTTAGTATATTTGTGAGTTAACAATAGAAATGCATACCAAATTCCAGGACAATGTTTTCTTTAAGTAAAAAAATGAAGCCTGAATGCTGGTGCCTTTAGAAACTAAACAGCTATGGATTTTGGCCTGCTATACCTTTGGGCAGCTCTTGCAGTCATATTCAGTCACATGAGTTAAAGCTCATGTTGCCATCTTTGCTGTCTTTCTTCTTCCCTACCCCTTCCCTCTTTTAGCAAGGATGGTAATTGTAATAATAGCAAAAAACATAATATAAACATTATATTAGCATTTTAGCAGGAATTGGATATTCTCATAAATAGGATTTCTATATAACTGAACTTTAATGGCTAAAATTAAAAAGCCTTAAATATTTTTTATGGAAATATTTACAAAATTTATATACATTAAGTAAAATTTATATGAAATACATAAAATAATTATATATTATCAGAGTTTTAAGATTTTCTTAATGATTCATTGCTTCAAGTTCTGGAACCATTGGTGCTCTTTGGATTTATTTATTCATTCCCTTATCCATCCATTCATTCATCCATTCAACAAGTATTTATTGAGTGTTACTATGTCCCAAGGACCATAAAAGGCAGGAATGAAGCATACAAATAGTGCTGCCCTGGTGGAGTTTGAGTTCAAGTTGCAGGATGTTTGTCTCTGCAACAAATGGGCCTTCACTGCTGTGGTTTTAGTTGTCCTGTTTCCTCCCTCTGCTCTCAGCTGTCACCTCTTGCTGGCACCCTGTCTCTCCGTTTTTATCAGGGCTATAATTGCAGGTCTTTCCCCTCAGCATCTCTCTAAGTCAATAATAGACCATATCGTTGGATGGAGCCCGAGCAGTTCCTATGCTTGCAGTAGATATGCTGCTTCTGGCCCTTGCAAGAAGTTCTTCTATCCCTACTCTCAGTGTTTGGAACAAACATCTTCCTTTGCTTCCTTTCATCATTCATGTGCTCAGTTCTAGTAATCTGATTCAATTCCCAGGCCCAAAGGTCTCTGCACTGTATATGGGCAAATGGACTCGTAGAAAAGTAGGCATCACCAAAGTGATATTAGATTCTAATATTGCAACAAAAAACATGATCTTTCTCATGATTGTGGTAGCTTTTCCCGAAAACTTTCTGAACTGCCACATAAATATAGAATGGCAGGCACCAAAACTTTCAAAAGGAAAAGAAAATTTTCCTGTACTCCCATGTTTTACTCATTGCGAAAACATGCATGGTAGAAGTTCATGGAAACGAACAAGGATTCTGAATTGCATGTAAGGAAATGGTGGAAACTAAGGCCAGAAGGAGTATCTAAAACTCTTTCACAGACTCATCAGATGTTGGAGGTGAAAGGGGGTCAACCTGTGTGGTAGTGAAATATGGTGGTTAAGAGCTCTGGTTCTGGGACCAGATTGCTGTACCTCTTACAACTGTTCAACCTTGGCCTGGCATCAGCATCCCCATGCTTCAATTTATTCATCTGTAAAACGGCACGTTCTTCAGAGGATTGTGAGGATTAAATGAATTAATGCAGGTAAGATGCCTGGTATCACATCTGGCACACAGCAAACACGTAAGTGTTAGCTATTATTCTCTCAATCTCTTCCACATATTTTTACAGATGGAGACACAGCTCTACGATTTTAACTGAACAGCAAGTTAGAGGTAAAACCAGTGGCAAAACCAGGTGTCCTGATTCTCACCAAATTACAGATTGTTTTCCCTGATATCTCGCTTACTTAACAAGTGGGAAGAAATGCTGAATTATGTAAATTATTATAAAATGACAACTCAGTGATATACAAGTCCCTCTTCCCCTCTAAAACAGAAATATACAAATACGCCTTTGCCCAGTGCTAGTCCCCCAGGTCCTAGTGGGCAGGATTAATTCTCTAGAGCCAAGTGACAGAGCTCAGGAGGCCAGGCGAAGCGTAACAGTAGGCACCAACAAGGCAACCATTTCCTTCCTTACCTTAAACTTGTCAACTTCAGCTTTTGAACATGTTGCATGGTAGGATAGCACCTGATTCAGAAGAAAAAAATAATTTTAATAACTAGACATGACTGTATTTTCTGAAATTCTTCTGGCTTAAAAATAAGCTTTGCTCATGTATGTTACCTTGATTCAAAGGTGGAATTTAATGTATGACAAGAAACAACATGTCTAATAACATTCTCTGACATAATTCACATATTAAAGAATGTTTTATATCAGGATTTTTCTATTGATAGTTATCTCATCAAAAGGACAACAGCCAGGTGCAGTGGTTCACCCCTGTAATCCCAGCACTTTGGGAGGGTGAGGTGGGCAGATCACTTGAGCCCAGGAGTTTGAGACCAGCCTGGGCAACATGGTGAAATCTCATCTCCACAAAAAATCCAAAAGATCTACTGGCTGGATACGGTGGTATGTGCCTGAAGGCCTAACTATTCAGGGAGGCTGAGATGAGAGGATCAACTGAGCCCAGGGGGTTGACGCTACAGTGAGCTGAGATCATGCCACTGCACTCCAGCCTGGGTGACAGAGTAAGACCCTGTCTAAAAAAAAAAACAATAAGGACATGATGTGACTTAAAACTACAATTCCCAAAGGATGTGAATACTTGTCCGGTGAAATGCTCTGAAAACAAATGTCGCCTATTCTCACTTGCCTGCTTTTATTATGTTAGGAAAGATTATATTGCTATAATCTTTTAAAGGGTATCTGTGACCCTTTAATAAGAGGACTGTACTTCCTGTCCCTATTGACATCAGCATTGGCACGTGACTTCTTTTGGCCAATGGAATGTCGGGGAAAGTAACAAATGCCACTTTGACTGTGTCTTCAACAGCAACGGTTCTGCCACCTCCTTTTTGCCTCAGCCATGGGAAGCGCATGGCCTGAGAGGGGCTGATCCTTCAGTCTCAGCCCCCAAATAAAGAAGATATATTGAGCAGAACTGCAGCCAACCTGCAGCTGATGACATGTCATGTGAGTGAGAATCAACCTTCCCAATTTATCTATGTCATAACTCACTGATACAGAGGTTTAAAAGTAAAAAGCCAATTTGCAGGCTCCTTGCAGCTGGGGGTGGTCCTATAGGGTGGCCTTTATGACACTGCCTTGGTCAGTGAATTATAAGTGAGAGTGTTGGTGCTGCAGCTTTGTTTTCTTTTCTTCCTTTGTGGAATACAGTTGTAAAGCCTGGAAGTGCAGCAAAATCTTATATGTATGATGTGACAAGTATGGCAGTGAATGCCAGCTTGCCGTGGATAGTAGAACAGAAAGCGAAAGAGAAAGGAGCCTGACCCTGGGCTCCTCTGCCCCAGACTTCTTGTTTTGTGGGACAAATAAATGCACACTTGTGGTATTTGATAAGGCATATTTACAGACATATGCACACTCACACATAAATAGCATGTGTATGTTTTATGTTTTATGCTGCCAACACCTTTTTTGTTGTTTTGTTTTGTTTTTGAGACAGGTCTCACTCTAATGCACAGGCTGGAGTGTAGTAATGTGATCATAGCTCACTGAAGCCTGGACCTCCTGGGCTCAAGAGATTCTCCCACCTCAGCATCCCAAGTAGCTGCAACTACAGGCATACACACTATGCTCAGCTATGTTTTGTAGGGACAGGGGTCTCATCATGTTGTCCAGGCTGGTCTGAAACTCCTGGGTTCAAGCAATCTTCCTGCCTCAGCCTCCCAAGGTGCTGGGATTACAGGCATGAACCTGTGTGCCTGGCCTGCATTCTTAATCTATACAAACCTCAAACAAGTAAGCGTGGGAAATGCTAACTCCTTCTTCACCTACCAACCTTAGAAAACTATAGTGCACATTTGGCTGTGAAAAACAAAGTAACATGCTTTATTTCATTAAACACAGTATTTCCCAAATCTAATTAGCCACAGAATTCCCTTTTAGGTAACATTAAACTGGTAACAGTCAACCTAATAACCTATTGACCAAGAACTTTGAGAAGCGCTGACCTATGGCACGTACCATTTGTGTGATACAAGTAAAGCTACAATGGAAGCAATGTCTCACGGTGGTTAGAACACAGGCTTCAGAGTCAGGCTGCAACGCCTCCACTTCTGAGCCCTGGGAGCTTGGGCAAATGATTTAATCTCTTTGGGTCTCATTTGAAAGGTGGTGTAACCTAAGACTACACAGGCATCTCCTGCTTAACATAGAGGTTCCTCCTGAAAACACTAACAGGAAGCCTGCTTTTAATTCTTTATAACTAGGAAAAAAATTCAGTGCATTATAAGATCTGCAGCAACTTCTTAAAACTCAGTCAAAACACAGTAAAATTCATAGATATATAGAACAAAAAATACCGTTATGTTATAGCTGCTTAAAATGTTACTTTCTGGTCATAACTAATATAGTTATTAACAACAATTTTCTTTGTGTTATTATGTGTTATTATGACAACTTTCTCGTCATTATAAACATTTTTCTTACTGACATTACTTGTTTTTCCATAGTTTTCTCAATCCTTTTTACCTTTGGGAGGGGACTCACAAAAATGTTGTATGGAGAGATAAATATGTTCTATGAGGTCTGGTTATCAAAAATGAAGATATTTTCTGCTGGGAAATTTTAACCACGGAAATACTCTATGGAGTGGGCCTGTACAGAGTTCTTAGGAAGATTAAATGCAATAGTACATGTAGAATACCTGGTACACAAATGTCAATTTATATGTGTTTTATTAATATTCAATTAAAATTCTACCAGATAAGTATTTGTCTGGATATTATATCAATAGGTATTTCAATGTATAGATGAATTGATTTTGTTCTTTTGTTTCCATTTTACTATGGTAAAATTTAATTTGGCTGTCATTTTATTAGAATTTCTTACAGTTTTCAAGTCTATTTCTGCAGATTCCCTCTTCAGACTTTACCTTTAAAAAATATCCCACAAAAACTCAAGTTGCAATTCAAAATCTCTGTCACCAGGTGGTGCTTAGTCAGGTTTGTTTAAATCAACTCTTCCTTATTAAAAAAAAAAAAAAAAAAAAAAAAGCTATTAACTCCACTAAACTGAAACTATTTGAATCAGTGAAGCAGACAATTATTACATATTAAGACTTTTTGCTCATTTAAAATTACAATAGTTTTTGTTTGTTATCGAGTCGTAGGAGTTCTTTGTATATTTTGGATTCAAGTCCTCTGTCAGATGTATGTTTCACAAATATGCAAGACAAGCCTTCAGTCTATGGTTTGTCTATTAATAATATTATATGGCACAGATAATGACTAAAAATCAGCCAAATTTCTATAGTTAAGGATAAATCTTAACAAATTACAGGATCATATTATTTAAAACTACTGTTGTCCAACCTTCCTGGATAAGTTAGTTTCCTCCACAATTCAAACTATATATTTCATAGCAAATATCTAGGTTCATCATACATTTTTGAATAATAATAATAATACCTTTGATCAAGTAAAAAAGCTTTAACTGAATGCATTATAATAGTTTTGAAGAAAGAGGCATTTGTAAGACATGATTTTATATATATACTATCATTCCCTATGAGAAACATTGTTAGGTTACAAGAGTATTACTATAACGTACACACCAGTTAATTTTTTCGACATCTAAATAAAATTTGTATAAAGCCTACATACAAAAGTAAATATTTCATCCACAGAACACTTGATGAGCATTAAACTTTCACAAGAAAATTTCTATGATAGATGGATTTGTCATTTGTGTTGGTATTAACTGAAAAAATATTTTTGACTCAGTTTTGTTGGTGAGCTCTGACTTAAGAAATCTTTATAGTTTCTAAAATAAATCACTATTTCCAAAACTATACCAACTCTAATTAACTTTTGGACTGAACTTGCTTCCAGCAAAACAACAACAAAAAGTCGATAAGGCAATTATCAGACCCATGAAAGACAGAGGCGAGAAGTCATGTTTTTGTGTTGCATTTGCCCAGCATGAAAAGACAATTAACTATCTTTCAAAAGACAAATAATGGGCAGAACTATGAAATAGGACCACTGGATCAAGCCTTGACCTTCTCTACATGCAGTTCAGGACAGGAGCCAAATGCTTGTCTTGCAGCCCCCAGAATTGTAGTTGGAGGACAGATCTCTTGCACCAAGTGTCTTGAATGTTAATTTGCTGTGGATTTGGGCAGCCATTTGCTCCTGAAATGAGATATGGACCATTACACCAGCGGAGAGCAACACAAATGTAAAGAAGCACTTAACAGCGAAGAGGAACGAAGACCCCACTGCGGATCCAGACTGAGTGTCTTGGACACAAAAGGGTTCCATGAATACATTTATTGCTCTGCTGGCAACGTGGCACTTGGTGAAGTCTGGATGGCAGACTTAAGCTAAGCTGATCTGAGGTAAAATCCCAAATAACTTATATTGATGAGCTCTAAAGAAATAAAGAAGCTTTGCTCTCAGCTGTAGTCCTTAACTAAGAAAGATGACAAACCACAAGGAATAAAAAACCAATTTACTTGCAATGACCTGACAGAAGTGTCATCTAACTTTGTGACGAACCACACTCCAGGATTTCTTAACAAGATGATAACAGTATTCAAAGACATGGCAACTGAACAGATGTGTTGAAACTGAAAAATCATCAGTTTTTCTTGTCAGATATTTAAGACACTGCCTGCTGTATAATGGAATGAAATGTTCAAAAGGTACTTGAGATAACTGTGTCTGCTGCATGATCTGTTATCATGACCTTCAGAATCTAACTACAAAGTATTTTTACGAAAGTCCATAAACTAATCCACTACATAAATAAAACCGAAGACAAAAACCACATGATTACCTCAACAGATGCAGAGAAGACCTTCAACAAAATTTCAACAGCTCTTTATGCTAAAAACTCTCAGTAAACTAGGTATCGATGGAACCTATCACAAAATAATAAAAGCTATTTAAGACAAACCCACAGCCAATATCATACTGAACGAGCAAAAACTGGAAGCGTTCCCTTTGAAATCTGGCACTTGACACGGATGCCCTCTCTCACCACTCCTATTCAATATAGTATTGGAAGTTTTAGTCAGAGCAATCAGGCAAGAAAAAGAAATAAAGGGTATTCAATAAGGAAAGGAGGAAGTCAAATTGTCTCTATTTGCAGATGACATGACTGTATATTTAGAAGACCCCATCGCCTCAGCCCAAACTCTCCTTAAGCTGATAGGCAACTTCAGTAAAGTCTCAGGATACAAAATCAATGTGCAGAAATCACAAGCATTCCTACACACCAATAACAGACAAACAGAAAGCCAAATCATGAGCGAACTCCCATTCAGAATTGCTACGAAGAGAATAAAATACCTAGGAATACACCTAACAAAGGAGGTAAAGGACTTCTTCAAGGAGAACTACAAACCACTGCTCAGGAAATAAGAGAGGACAAAAACAGATGGAGAAACATTCCATGTTCACAGTTAGGAAGAATTAATATTGTGAAAATGGCCACACTGCCCAAAGTAATTTACAGATTTAACACTATCCCCGTCAAACTACCAATGCCCTTCTTCACAGAACTGGAAAAAAACAGTTCATATGGAACCAAAAAAAGAGCCCGCATAGCCAAGACATTCCTAAGCAAAAAGAACAAAGCTGCAGCATCACGCTGCTGGACTTCAAACTATGCTACAAGGCAACAGTAATGAAAACAGTATGGTACTGGTATCAAAACAGAGACATAGACCAATGGAACAGAACAGAGGCCTCTGGAGCAATACCACACATCTGTAACCATCTGATTTTTTGACAAACCTGACAGAAAGAAGCAATAGGGAAAGGATCCCCTGTTTAATAAATGGTGTTGGGAAAACTGGCTAGCAATGTGCAGAAAGCAGAAACTGGACCCCTTCCTGACACCTTACACTAAAATTAACTACAGATTGATTAAGGACTTAAACATAAGACCTAACACCATAAAAACCCTAGAAGAAAACCTAGGCAATACCATTCAGGACATGG